TATATATATATATATATATATATATATATATATATATAATGAAAAGAAGAAACACTGTAAAAGGCAATGTTGAAAATGACCAAATTAATCAAAATATGATCAAAATATATGGACAGAAAGGCAGTGAGCATAAGGGGAAGAACCCTTCATAATACCAAAAATTTGTTCAAACGCCATACTAAGCAGATGTTAGGACTCCAGAATCCGATCACCAACTCACCAGTCTTTGAATCATGCTGTATGTCAGAGTAACACAATAGTTAGAACAGAAAGGAGGAATCAAAACTTGTGTTGATGGAAGTCAGAGAAATACTGTGTGGAAATCTTGAGCTTGTGCTCCGTGGGAGCAGGCAGTATGAAGCCCAGCTGAATTTCCAGGTGAGATTAGAGAAGGGAGCAGAGGACAGGGAGTGTGAAGCAGCGTCATCTGCAAGTGTGCCTTTGTACAAAGTACGTAACTTAGAGTGGAAAGGGCAAGAGCCGAGATAGTCAACAAAAACTTTCTAAAGGATTCTCTGGGAAGAATTTCCAGAGTTTACTTTAGTGACTCTGAACAGTAAGAGTTTATGGCGCAGTTTAAGAACAGATCACAAAACATTAACCAGGAATGGCAATAGTCAGACATCTGTGGGATGGTGTGAGGGAGGGAAGGAAAGGCTCAGTGGCTGGGATGACAGAAGGGTAAGGATGACTCTAAGGTTGGGGATAAAGTACTGACATGAGTAGGAAAAATTCATATTACAATACGATGTGTTCTATACACATAATTAAACATATCCAAATTCTAGCCTGGAGACATGGCTCAGTGGTTAAAGGGACCTGATGTTCTTCTAGGCAATCTGAGACTGGTTTCTAACGCCTGGCTGGAGTACCTCACAACTGCCTGCAACTCCAGTTCCAGGGGACCTGAGCACTGTCCTAGACTCTCCAAAGACTCACACAAATATACTTATTTATATATTTGTCTATACATATAAATATGCACATATATATATAATCATGCAAATAAGCAAAAATAAAATAAATCTTTAAAAGATACAGAATTCCAAAGGAATTCATGCTAAAATTTTTGTGATTTAAGGCGAGGAGCACTACGCAGATGAAAGAGTAGTCTGCCTGAAGGTAACAGCACCAAAGCGAAGAGCAAGAGGTGATAGGGCCTCAGACTTCAGTGCAGGTCTGTATTCAAGGACTGATGGAAGGAGGAGGTGGAGTAATGAACACAGAAGAAGGCTTGGGTGTCTGGGACTGTGAAGTCATCACATTAATATGTAAAGGTGTTTGAGGGAAATGTTGCAGTTGGCAGTGGGTAAATCATGGCAAAGGGAACAAACTGACTTTGAGAAGATAGAGCTACATAGGGATTACTACAGTCAGTCAGGTGAGGGGGGCAACCCCAGGTGAGGGGGGCTACCTCAGATGAGGGGCACAACCCCAGATGAGGGGGGCAATCCCAGGTGAGGGGGGCAATCCCAGGTGAGGGGGCAACCCCAGGTGAGGGGCAACCCCAGGTGAGGGGGTAATCTCAGATGGGTGGAGGTCAATCCCAAACTAGGAGCACATGAATATTTTGAAAAGTTGATGGAAGAAATTTTGGAAGCAGTTAAAGAGGTAGAATTGTGTGTGAGAATCCATGTGCTCTCCGTAGAACGGGAGAAGCATGGAACGCTGAAGCTTTGAAAAGCTTTTGAATATGAAGAACGCAGGTAACATAGTGATGGTATCACAAGAAAATGTGCAGGTGAGCTTGAGGGCCCAACTCTGGGTCTCTGAAGAGCGTGAGTGAGACAGTGCCACTGATTAGAACAGGGTTAACACAGGGTAGGTGGCATACTTAGAAAACACTCCAAGTGACTGCAGAGTGGGTAGGACCAAGCCATGGATAATTTCCCAGTGTTCAGTACAATGACTTCTGCAGATACATTTCTAGGAATGGGAATTTTCAATTTTTAGTTAGATGTTTTATAAAATAGATTACTTTACATATTGAGGTCTGCATGATTTTTGTATCTAAAGATTAGCAAATAAGTAGTCCCTATTGATCCCAAACTTTCCCTTAAGGAAGTTGTTTTTAATTGGTATTTAAATATTCACACTACTAAACTTGACAGCTTTTCATCTTCTAGAAATTCAGTGGGGTAAAATTAAAACCAACCGACATGTTACAAGGCCATCAATGCAATAGTAGAGATTTTCAGCTTCTCTTTCTTCTTCTTCAAACAATTTGACTGGCGTATACTGTAGTAAGATATATTCTTAGTATATCAAATAAAATGCAATGTATGCTTCAGCATCGAGACTGGTTTCCCCAAGTCTCTCTTGCATTAACAGTTTGCTCTTATGCATATGCAAATTTACTATCTCTATCACTGTATACTTTTATAATATTATGAGAACTAAAAGACTATCTCTTTTTCCTCCTTTCCTCATCAATGTCTTCTGTGACTTTTAGCCCTGTATCTTTAATAGAAACTGTTAATATCAAATAGTACTTTTAGCAGTTGAAAACAAAGGCGGGAAAGAAACAGAAAACTTTAGAAACATTTGAAACTTTTTCCCCATTTTTTTTTTCAATATCGTACTTGTTATTCACACAGCAGTAAAGTAAATCACACCAGGTGCCAGGCAGAGCGGCCAGTGGAGTTCAACTTTGTATCTTGTTCATGAACGCATGTGTATTTCACCATGTTTTTCAGAATCGTCGGTCAGTAGCAGCTCTCCAGGGTCAGGCCCCAGTTCACCCAACAATGGGCCTGCTGGGAATGTTACTGAAAACGAGGCTTCAGTTCTGCCTCCCACGCCTCACCCCGAGGTAAGGCCCTGCTTCATCTATGTCTGGCAACAGTTTCTGTGACACAAAGCGTGCTTCTGAGTCCATGCTTCCCCATTTTCACACATTATAGATCTATAAACTGAGCCCAAGTATTTCCAAACCGTTATGAACAAATATTAGCTTTGTTTTGTACTGTTTCATATTGGTGAAATAGTTTTATATGTGGGTTTGAATAAACTTGAATATATTTATAGGTGTTTCGATGATCATCCATGTTGGAAGAATACTGACATTTAAACCAGGATTAATAAAGTTCTTAGCTATTCTAACTCTGTACTGCCCAATGATATAGATTTGTAATCCTGCCTGGGTACCAGGTTTTCTGATAGGAGTAGACCCATAAATAAGCAATCCCGTCCATGTAGGCCTCTCACAATAACTACTAATGAGGTATATTTTATTCACTTGACCCTAAAGTGTATATTATGATGGAGGGAACAAGAATTTCACTGAGTAAGCATTTATTTAGTATTTACTTCCTGATAGTCATTCTACCTGGTGATATATACATAAGGATAAATAAAAATGTGAACGCCATTAGGGAAACTGACTTAGTGTAGAAAATTGCTTTAAAATATCCTCATTTGTGGTAATCAGCGACACATACTGAGAAGAAAGAGAATGTCAGCATCAGTCATGTGGCTTCGGGGTGGACTGCACGAAGGTAGTCACATTAATGTAACTGTTTTGAGCTGACTGGCCGTAGACCAAAGGCCTAAAGTTGTTCTGTATACACTTCACGCCGCCTCCTCCCTATACAGCCTCTGCAGGGAGAGGTGCTGCGATGAACTCTCATGTGTGACTGTTACTTGCTTCTCCTTTTGTATTCTAGAGCCTTCATACCTTGAGACCAAGAGGCGTTGATCAAATCTGTCATTCATTGGTTTATACCAGTAGCTTTTCTGCGATGGCATTAGCCGTTATTGTGCCAAAACACTTCTACCTACGAGAGAATCACAGTACTGTCTCCTGACATAACCCCCTGACTTTAAATAGTCGCCTTTACTGACAGAGATGTCCTCTACTGCTCTGTCAATTCATACATTTCACATGCACACACAAATAGATATGCACACATATAAATGACTAGATGTTATGAAATCATTGGGTGAAATACAAGCAGTGGAGATGAATGCTTTAAAGGCTTCACATTCTTGACTTTGACCTCTGATTTCTCCTGAACTCAAAAACCCTCAAGATAGATGAAAAAGCCCAGTGCTGACCAAGGAGAATATTCCAAAACCTTCCAGACCCTCCTCACTCAGTGCTGGGATCCCAAGGACCCATGTCTAAGCTCTTTGGTGAGTGTCTCACCTCATTCCAACAGTGGCAGATTTTCTGCCTGAAGAGTTGTAACTGACTGAAACTGTGAGTGGTACAGCAGAAATCACACAGCAACACACAGCTTTACAACTTAAAGCATCCCCATTTGTGCAGACCCCCTGGTGCCTGCACAAAACAGATGTGAGTCATAGCTAGAGTAGGACATCATCTTCCTAGAGTCTGAACCTTCTACTCTCTTTGTAAGAGAGCATGAGTAGAAAAGGTAAAGGGCCTTCCTTATGAGCATTTTTGAGCTACTTCAAGGCTAACATTCAGACCTCCATTCTAATCTCTAAGACCCTCATTAGTTTCTTACTATCTTGTCACTTGGTACTTCTTTTCTATTATACCCTCCAAAACATGATCCAGGATAGTATATTCTATGAATACATGTGATCACACACATAAGTAGGACTTTAAGGGTTTGAGATTACATCCCCATATTGAGTGATTTTCTATATCCTATAGACCTATAACTGATATCCAAGAAAAAATCAATTTGATCACAAATAGTAAGTTATTAAGATGATTCTCACTAACCACAGAAACACTGAGTGATAGGTTCTTGTCAGCCCTAGGGCTGCTTGTACCCTTGAAGAATCACAGCATATGGCACTACATTCTGCAGCATAGAGAATTCTAAGATGCAGTGTCAACGTCTCAGCTTTGGGCCCTTAGCTGCTTACTCACACTTTATTAGATTCAGAAAGAGTTAAAATATCTGTCTGGGCATCTTCAGTAAAGGGATGTAGATGAGTGAGGACAACTTGTAGGATTTTATTTCCATTCAGACCGGAGGACAAAGAGTGTGGTTTGAGAGTTACTAAGTTACTGAATGTATCCATTCACTGCTCGGTAAAAAAGCAAAACCAGGAAGAAGTGTTAGTGAAAACAAAACAGAAAAATGAAAGGTTTTTCCTCTTCTGACTCTTTGTGACCTACTAAATTTTCTAGATTGTCTAATTTTAAACCTGTATGTATGTGTGTGTGTATAACTGTATACATGCACAGCTAAGCCAGTATAGAGAGTGTAAATCAAGAATTTATTTTATTTCTAAATCATTTATGTGCACGAATTAGGCTTGGATCTCCTTGCCTTTCAGCTGTTGAATATACTCTGTCACTGCGAATCTTTCCTTCCACCCCAACCAGTCAAAAAAGAAAAACAAAACAAAACAGAAGGAAATGTGATTTAGTGGAGTTTAAAGGGTAGAGGGATTTCTCCAGGTCAGTGGCAGGACATCCACTTCCAACGCTCACAAGCCTAGTTCAAAAGCAAGCAGTAACTTACCTCATAATGAATTAATTGTGTGCCTGAACTGTGGTCCAAAAGGCCAGGTGGACAGACCTTTCTGCACCGATGGGTAGCCTCTCTATGGCCCAGAACCAAAAATACAGCCCTGATGGCTAACATGTGTTTTCTGCTGTATTACATTCACAGAGCTCTGTCCTGTAATTCAGTCTGGATAGGTAAGGAGGCAGCAGAAGTGAGGCAGACTGTCAGCAAATTAGCATTCTAGCTGTGACACATTACCACCTAGAGAAAGTGGACCCAGCAAAGTGTGCAACCACTTAGAATTTGCTGTGTGATTTTTTTTTACAGCTACCCCGTAAGATTGATAATTGAATGTGATTTTACAGCAGCAGAAATTTATTGATCAAAATTACAGTATTTAATGCTCAAATCCCCAGTTATATAATTTACCATTTGCAGAATATCATGATTGGATGAAATTACACAAGTAGGTTTTCGTCTTAAAGGAATGATGGTGTCAAGTTCATAATCTAAAAGGGATACAGAGGGAGCTAAGGCCAGTCTGTCCAATATTCTGAAAACCTGTCTCAATAGGAAAAAAGGGAAAAGAGAGTTGAGTGTGTCTCTTAGTGGTGCAATCATCACATAGCACACAGAAGGTCCTAGACCAATTTCAGTCACCAACTTAAAAAAAAAATGCAGCAGGGTGTGAATGGCTCTCTCTGGGCCATGCCTGTAAGTCCAGTATAATGCCACCTAATCCTTCAGACCACATATAAACGAATGGGATTCCATTTGTATTTGTTGCTTAGGAGCCTGGAAAAGGCACACCTAAATTTCTTGAGCCCTTAGATGAAAATGATTTTGCTTTCTATCCTACAAGTCACAAGTTCCACCTGATGTAGATGAGGCAGAAGCAGGAATGGATGAGAATGTGCTCCCGATTGTGACTCTGGACACAGTACAGAAGATATCTAAGTATTCTGCCTGAAGATGGGGCTTAAGCATTGCTATGCAACCAACTGCTTGGTCAGGTTGCCAAATTTCTATTAATCTTCAGATTCCTGGTTGATTAATAGTAGCAATGCCGGTTCCTGCCACTTTGTCTAGGCAGCGTTTGCAAGGGAGGTAGTACATCCTGAAATGTGGAAGGAGTCCATTTTGTTATTGTCATCAGCGTGGACTCTTCATAGGGAGAACTCATTAAGTTGTTTGTCTTCAGGCCAGCAGCTCTCACATGAGAATGAGTCTCCGTCTGCTCTGACCACTTCTGTTCTGTTTCTTCTATTTTTTACATATGCTCAGTCCCAGCATCCAGACTGTTGGAGCTACTCACTTTATTCCTTCGTAAACTTAGTTGGAAATGAAAACCTCAAGCCTTTCTGTTTCCAGCTCCCATCAGAGATGTCTATAGCTATCTAGTTGCTTGGATTGTTAATACTGTGGGCCTGCAGGTTCAAATATGCTTCTGTGGATATCAGCACCATGACTCCAGATCCAGTAGATTTACTTGATAGCTATCTTAACAGTAGCCAAGCTGCTGGTTTGTTTCTATTTAAATATTAATGGCTGCCTCTGCTGTTAGGTTTTAAAATGATTTTTTTCAGTCAAGAACAGATGATTTTTTAAAAAAATGATTCCAATAATTAGGGTGAAGTGTTCTGAGATCACCAGAAATGACATTTGTATTGCGCCAGCCCCATGGCTCATCTGCCCGATGTGTGGTAGTCGTTATGACATTTGCTCTGCCATCTCCATGTCTAAGTGGGTATCTCAGAGCTATGGTTTATATGACAGTAATTAAAACTTGTCCCCCACTTGGAAAAGAAGTTTGATAGCACAATAGTTACATAAGTCAATATTGTAAAATGAGACCTTTTATAAAATATAAATGCAAAGTTAGCGAATCAGTTCCCAGGGCCCTTAGCAACTCAGCAGTACTTGCTGGTTTCCTAGAGAACCCAAGATTAGTTTCCAGCCCCCATGTTGGGTGGTGCATGACTCCAGCTCCAGCTCCAGCTCCAGGGGATCTGACACCTTCTTCTGGCTTCTGTACGCACCCATATAGATGTGCACATATGAACATACATGTACTTAAATAAAATTAAAATTCCACCTTCCAGTTTTCCCCCAATGGAGTCTCACTGGGTATATCAACCACATTCCAGGGAAAGCCCCATTGATACCCAGGTGTGGCTGGCCAACACACACACACACACACACACACACACACACACACACACACACACACACACAGGCTCCATGTTTTCTTCATGGGCTCTTTGTTGGTTCTGTTTTGATTTATCTTGTCTTGATTTGTCTGTTAGTTTTGATTTCCATTTTTTATTTTACTTTACGGTACTTTTCTGAGAGAGAATAAAAGAAGAGAGGATAGGAGAGAGAGAGAGAGAGAGAGAGAGAGAGAGCATGAACGTAGGGAGTTAAAAGAGGTGGGAAGTATCAGGGAGGATTTAGGAAAGCAGAGGAATACACTATATAAAAATTATTATGTTGATTTTAGTCTAATATTTTATTGTAATATGATATCTAGTGTAAAGTAAAAATTTAAAACTTGGGGGTTTTTACTTTTTGAAAATAATTCCATTTTATTATGTCGAGCTCTTATCTTATTTTTTCTGAAGGAAGCACAGAAAGAAATATAATCTTTAAAAGTACTGCTAAAGCCATATGCAAATATTAAGCCATCGAGGGAGCTTTTAAAATGCAGAAGTCTTGTTTTTAAATAGTCTACAATTTTTAAGCCAAAGTCAACTGACCTAAGTATGTCTTCCTGTAGGCCATCCTGATAGATGTGAATACTACCTCAAAACATAGTCAGGGTTCTCTGTCTTAGACCGATGGCACTGTTTTCTAGGAAATGTATGTGCTGTCTGTATCCACAGCCCACACATAGCAGAGCTCAGATGAGAAGTGTGGATAATAAACATTTATTTTACTAGTCTAAATATCTTACCTAAAGTCTGTATTCTTTTCTTTTTTCTAGTTTTCTGGCCTATTGTAGATAGTTTTGAACATTTAGTAAACTGAACATTCTATGTTCACTTTTTTCTATAAGCTTATTGAAAGTAGGCAGATTTTTATACATATATGTATGTTTTCAAGCAAAGGTATCAGTAAGAGAGACAGACATTCGTTGAATTGCTCACCCAGCTCCCTATCACTCCTTTTTCCTCTCTCTCTTTGTCCATTGCTCTTCCCCTTCTGCGGTTCTTGTCTCCAGGGCAGTCATGCTTTTGTTTGGTCTTGCTGTACTTTGTGTGTCATTTTTGTCCTGTGACTCATGAATTTTAGAGAATATGAGCGGTACACTCTCATTCATGTCAGTTCATGTCTTACTTTTATCTCTAGCCATGTGTTTTAGACCTGGCAGTAGCTTACAAATGCTTTTAATTACTATAAATGCCATGGTGGCTGCTGCGCCATTTTATCTATCAAGTCCTGTTCCTTCGCAAGAAATGCTAAGGTGTGTGTCCACACCATCCTGACTGCTTCATGAGAGATGTTCTCATGCGAGGTGCTCCCTATTTCTAGTCAAGGCTTCTATAGGTCCATACTGTTTGCTTAGTTATGGTTTATATTTTGAATTGTTGACCAGAATAACTTTACCTGTCTATTATACCCCTTCATCCAGAACATTGATAATGATCATTTTTCTAACTTTTGAGAGAGATTTAATGCCTTTTGTTTAAAGAAGTATCTTCTTAGTGTCAATGGTTGAATGAATATCTCCTCTGACAGACTTATATTTTCAGTCTATGTATATTTTATTCATCTGTAAGATGTCCTTCCAATTGGCATTACCATGAAAAAAGACGTTAAATACAGTTTTGAAAGATCTTACTAAATTGTGAGCATCTCCCTTACCTCAGCTCTTGGATGATCCTGTATGTTCCTGGTGAGTTACTAGTTACCCATGAAATCTGGATTCACATAGACATCTCTGTGCCATTCAAAAGTTTTAACTTTAATATAATAATAGTGGATATGACAGTCCACTGATGCTTGTTCTCCTTTCTCTTAGCAATTGACTAGCATGTGTGGTTGAAGGTGTAGGCTTCTTTGCCTGCCGAGCACCTAACAACATTACCAAAAATGATGAGCTAATCACTAATGGTTTCACAAAAGTTATGTGATAGCCTTACATTTAATGCTTCTAGTCCATTTGCCTACAGTATTAAGTTTCCATTTGTGGAGATGTTTTATGTTAAAGTCATCATTCAAATGTTCTGAGGTGTGATATGTTGATATCTCAGCAATATAGCCCCAAGGATGACCCCAAGCTCTCTCAAGACCACCTTCTAGAAAAGTTCTGTGTTTCCCTGAAGACCTATGTGAGCTTTTCACAGTCCTGAGTGGGGGAGCATGTCGGCCTGAAAGAGCACAGTTCAGGATTCCTCACTGTCTATGTAAATGGCTCTGCACACTCTACACTTAGCAATAGAGAATATACATTTAGATTTTATTAAGAAACATTAGCCAAGAACAGATAGACCACTCCCACGAAGAACCTAGCTAGGGACAGCTGTGTTCAAAATGACAATCTGAGGGAATTGACTGTTGTTCTACGAGTTATGATCCAAAACACTGGAAACCTCCATAGATACGATGCATATATCCTTATGTACAGTTGAAAGTGATAAGTAGTGCCCAGGTGACATATGATTAGTTTATATCTGTGAGAAGACCAACCATAGACATGGGGACAGAGAATATTTCTTGAATTCCAGGGAATATTAGAGAATGTGTGCTTTGTAGCTCCTCCTGTCTGTCTTCTTAACAGGCTCCACTTTCTCCCATTCGCTTCTCTTCATAAGCCTTGGAGAGTTTCTCAGACACAGCATAAATCTTGTTTTTCTAGCCTCCGTTCCTCAAGGGGGAGCTGTAGGGTAGGGTAGGGTAGCTGTAGGGTGTTGGTGCCACTGGGAGTCTGCATGCTTCATATTCTTCCCTCAGTCTCCTTATCTGAACTATGATCATGAGGTAGTTTGGGAGTATTAGTGAAGCTAACCTCAGGACGTTGATAGACACTGGAAATTAATATACCACCATGAAAGATGGAGCCACAAGAATTTTATATTAAATGTCTAGAGCCTGCCATCCCAGAGAAGGAGTATCCACAAATCCCTTCATGTCAGACAAAGCCCGCGTGAGCAGCCTGCCAGCTGCTTCCACCACATCTGAGGAAAAGCTCAGTTTCCACCCAAGAGTGTTGTCCTCATGTATGGCGTGGGTGGAAAGGTATACAAAAGTCATCTCAGTTACACAAAGAGAACCTCATCTCTGAGGTCCCTGTCAAGCCATTGCTGTGGGAAGCAGTCACAACTTTCAATGGTCATTCTCAATTAACGTTCCTATTGTTTTCTCTACTGTGAATACAGATGAATAGGCTATTCCTTTATTTTAAAGAGTATTAGCTGCCAGTACCCTAATAAGACAGTTTTACTTCTTTGTATCTTTTGTGGTTCATGCGTATGCTGTATACTAAAACAGACTTCAAAGCCAACAGTGTAAACAAAACAGCTGCTTGTTCTTTTGCTTTGAGCAGATACACAACTATTACTGATAGCTCCTAAAATAAAATTATAATCTCGTACATTATAATTTAAAAATCTTTCCCAGTAATTTTCATGCTTTAGGGTTTCTTTTAGACAGCTTCAGTTTTGCCATATAAATGCAATGGAGCATTAATAGTTCAACATAACACATGATTTTCATGCATGAATAGCTGATATGTTCTGTTAAGGAGAAACACAGCCCGAGGTAGTGATGTGCACACTGCAATAGGAAAACTGTGCATTAAGCTTCTGCTTCTATTATGTTAAGGCTGAGGCTCATCTCCAAACAGCTGTATGATTGAGGTAACGTTTTGGAATAACATCCTGTGTTTTGGTGGCAAGGCACTCTTCAGTGACATTCCGAGGTTGCATTGCAGTAGCACATGATATTTTCCCTCGTTAATTGATATCCCAGGTTTGTCCTGAGGAAAATCTACAGCTCCCCCAAACATGCTTGACAAGTTATTATATTTACTTTAGTCAAAGCCCGTGTGTGCAATATCTCTCTTGGAGGTGGTCTATTATTGGAGTGCCATATGCTTTTTGTTTGGGAAGAAAGCAGTCACTGTGTTATACTGTAACATGGAGTATTCTTTTTCAGGATGTTGTACCCTTGGGAACCGTATCAGGGCAGAGTTCCCTCGTCTAATAAGACCTTTGTAACTCTTATTGTATAAAAGTTCTGGGAGGGGAGCAAGAGTTAAACAGAAGATGGAAGTCAAGCAACCATAATAAGCCACATGTAGGGACACATTTCTCTTAGTGTGGGATTAAAAAGGTATTTGTTTTAAAAAGTACTGAAATGCCAAAACATTGAGTATATTTCAGTGTAAATCCATATTATCTTGGAGTAGAGATCTCATAAAAAATTTTAAATTGAGTTTTGAAAGTGTACATTGTAAAATAACACCATCCATAGTTTATTAGTATTTTTATATTAAGATGTGATTAATAAGGAAGCCTTATATAGTGTTGCTTAATCTTCTGTGACTTTCTTCCCAGTAAATGAAATAAAACTATGGCCAAAGCTATGACTATTTGATGAAATTATTCTTTTTCCTTGTTGTATGGGAAGGTTTATAAATGCTCATCAGAGTCATCAACTGTGATTCTTGTATTTTTCAGATAAAAGAAAAGCATGCTAATTATATTCCCAAATTCCATATTTTCAAAGTAATTTTTACAATAAAAATAGAAATGCTGTTGCCATAATTTATAGCTCTCTGATAATATATTTGATGTAAATTTTATACTCTAAAGCTTAAATATAGAAAAAAACAGTAAATACTTAATGTTTTTCTTCATTATGATCATGTGGAAACTGCTTTTTGAAATTTGAACGTTTACTAAGAAAACTGATGACTTTGTAATATTTTGAGAATCTCCTTTCTTCATTTTCTTCAACAGCAACTGGTTCCACAGCAGCGCATTCTAATTCATGAAGATTCCATGAACCTGCTAAGTCTCTATACCTCCCCTTCCCTGCCCAATATCACTCTGGGACTTCCAGCAGTGCCGTCCCCACTCAATGTGAGTCATGGCATCCCTCAACCTAAACCAGTACAAGCGACACCCTGTACATGAACTCACTTCTATTGCTTACATATTTAGACTTGAGAACCTTGTTAGAAAGAGCGTCTCCAGCATGATTTTTCTGCTGTTTTCTGTTTTGTTCAAAGGAATTCAGTTTAGTTTCAAATTACAGAATTGCTTCATGTGATCATATACAAATAACTTACTTGGGTAACTATTTTTAACATAAAAACCTTTAGTAGTTTTCGTATGTACAATTTTAGTGGTTCCAACACCCTCCCTGTGAAGGAGAGAGTATGGTCCTCATTTTTACAGAAGAGGAAGCAAATTTTAGGAGTTTGAAATCCCAAGAATACAGACCCTTTTACTGAGTGGCAAACCTAAGCATCCCCCAGTCCAGAGCTTGGAGGTTCAGCCTGTGATGCATAGCAGAACGTGTTTATAGAAATGGTTTTGTGGGGGACTTTATTTGGGGAATTCACTCATTCTGCAGTGAAGAATACCTATCTGGAAAGAGTCCCCAAGCACAACATTTTACTATTCCCAGAAGATTTCAATAGAATTACTTAGTTTAAAAAATCTTGGCAGCTGAAATAGGATCTTTAGGAGGAGTAATTGTCCTAGTATAAAGGAAGACAAAAATAATAATTTCATATACATTCTCTAAAATAATATATATTTTACTTGTTACAAAATATTAATCGGCTTTACACAGGATAATTCATCACAGATGTTAGTAAATTAAACCATCCATACATAGAAGTCAGATGCTAGATACTGGAAGTAAAGGCTGTCCCCATCCCTGCCACCAGTGTGAGCATTCAGTGTCAAGCCTTCTAACTAAGTACAGTATGTCAGACTCACCTGTATCGTTGAGTCAGATATTTTTATTAGATCTAAAATTTTATCACATCTGAATTATTAATAGAATGTAATGTCATCTTTCTATGATCATATACCATATCTGAAGAGACAGCAGATTTAAGACGTGACCTCTATAATCTAAGATTTTCAAAAGAAAAACATGAAAATCTTAAATCGATTACACTCTGGAAATTCCAAAGATTTGTAAACAGTTGATTTTAATGAAAAGTAAAATGGAAGTAGAAATGAAACCATAAATAAGACATGGGAGTCTTTAAATCCTCACTTAATATTTGTATTTTTATTCCTGTCATTTATTTTAATTGTATATAAATGGCAACCTCTGCACTTTTATGAGACATGAACTGGCATTTTGAAGCCACCATTTTCTGTACTTTCACCCACCACATCTTGCTAGCTTATACACGCACCACTTTTAATGGAGTTGAAGAAATTTTTCCCCCAACGACCTTACTAAAGCCAGAACGTTTTATGTTTCAATGGCAATACTATTTGATGCCATTGGGTGAATAAACTAGTGTGGTTTGGATTAGTTTCATTTTTCTTTGCTTCCATTTCGGTGTGGATGAGGCCTTCACAATTCATTTCTCAAGCTTACCTTTGGCCCACAGAAGGATCTCTACTATACCCTTCCCCCACGGCACAGAAGAAGATTTTAAGGAAAAGAGGCTGGGCCAGGCATCACTTATATATTAAACATTGGATTGACCCAGTCTGTGACTCAGACAAACCATTTACCTCTCTGTCCTTCAATTTCTCCATCACTGAAAATTGTTTTGCCTCCCTGGTGTACAGCAATTTTGAAAGATGAAACATAAGTTTTGAAAAGAAACATGCCACATAATTTTGAGGCATTAGACTTCTGCTTTTGTAATACCAAAATGACCACCATTCATTAAATTTTTTGAATAGGATAATTCATTATTGCTCTTGATGATGTAATTATTATGGCGTCATTACTGTGTTAGCATGCCTTTCAAGTTCTTAATAACACTTTTATTTGATATCTTATTTCACTTGTAGTTTACTTTATTAGACAAAAGTATCTGGGTTGTCATTTTTAATATTCAGAGATGTAGGGATCTGTTATGAATTAATAGAAAACACATATCTAAATCAAATTCCTGTCTATTTGTACCAGCTTTCACCGAGTGAGAGAATTTTATCTTAAACTTAAATATTTGAAACATATAGCTCTGAAAAATTAGAGGTGTGGTAAGAATGTATACTTTGTGCCTTCCTTAAAATTCTAGAATTGTAGACTGCCTTTTCATTCATATGAAAGCTTTTATTTGAATAAATTTTAACTTTCCAACATACTTTTTACTCATGCGGTGCCTTTTGAAGTATGTAGAAGTAATCTCCCCAGTTAAAAGCCTGACATTTATTTTGACTTTTTGTTAAGTTGATGTATAGTAATTGCATGTATTTATAGTTTGTGACATGGTGTTTTAATCTGTATATTGGAATGAGTTAAGCTAACCAATGTATGCATTTACTTCTCGTTCTTTGGTAAGAAGCCTTAGTTACTTCCTAAGACACTTTTTTTTTTTTAGTACGTTTTGTTATTTATGTAACTATTACCACCAGGATATACAGCAATACATTTAAACTTTTTCTTACTGTGTAGCTGAAAGTTTGTGTTCGTTCTCATTCGTGATATTTAACACTAATTTTCCTTATGCTCAGTGCATCCATACTCTACTGCATTGATAATCAATTGCTAAATTCTTTCCAGTGCCTCAACTGTATCTCTTGTTAATTCTCACAGTGTAAAAGATACAGTATTATCCATTTACCTCATCATACACACTGAGCACAAGAAACTTACATAATGAGTAGAGTCCTAGCATTGACAGGGATAAGGAGGATTAACACGTGTTCATTCTTTCGTGATACAGGCTTCTAACTCACTCAAAGACAAGCAGAAGTGTGAGACACAGATGCTCAGACAAGGTGTTTCTCTGTCCGGCCAGTATGGCAGTAGCATTGCGGCATCCTCCAGCCATGTTCATGTAGCAATGGAAGGAAAGCCCAACAGCAGCCACCAAGCTCTCCTGCAGCACCTACTGTTGAAGGAACAAATGCGACAGCAAAAGCTTCTTGTGGCTGGTAATTAATAATGACAGTTTTTTCAGGTCCTTTAAGACTATTATCAGTGATCCAGTGTGACATTTAACTCAGAAGTATAATAGCAACTCGTGTTGCTGTACAAGTGCCAAATTTTGGCACTGTGGGAGGAGCTATGATCTTTATGTATTCTTGGTCCGTGGGGTGGAGCTGGGGGGGGACCCTTGGTCTATAACAGACTGCTTTTGCACTTGAGCCTTCCAGTCCCAGCCAAACCTTCTAAAGTTATCTGTCTGGAAAATGCTTCCTGACTTCTCTTAAAATTATGTATCAGCACATCTTTGTTTACACACACACATACACACACACACACACTTGTACTCACTCTCACACTCATACATACCCTTATACTCACACTCATACACACACTAACACACAGTCACATTCACATACTCATACACATTTGCACTCACACATACTCATATTCACACTCACACACACACTCACATTCTTACACACTGACACTTACACACTCACTCATACATACACTGTCACAAACACATTCACACTCACCACACACTCACACTCATTCTTGCCCACTTATATACTAATACTCATACACATGGTCATACACATTCACACTTATATTCACACTCATACACTCACACTTATACTCACATACACTCACATATTCACACTCACACTCATACATACTCACTCACACTCATTATCACACTCTTACATTCATACACACCCTCTTACACACTCACATTCATCCACACACTCCCACACACTCACACTCATACATACACTCAAACTCACACTCTGTTCACTCACATTCACATTCTGTTTTTCAGGTGGAGTTCCATTACACCCTCAGTCTCCTTTGGCAACAAAAGAAAGAATTTCACCGGGCATTAGAGGTACCCACAAGTTACCCCGCCACCGACCCCTGAATCGAACCCAGTCTGCACCTTTGCCTCAGAGCACACTAGCTCAGCTGGTCATTCAGCAGCAGCACCAGCAGTTCCTGGAGAAGCAGAAACAATACCAGCAGCAGATCCATATGAACAAAGTAAGTCTAAAGCAGTGTTAAACGTTGGAAGCACTGCTTTCCAAAGGAAGGTTCTCTTTACTGGAGACGGGAAGATAATTCTGGCTGAGACTGGAGATAATACAAAGATGACCATCCTTACCCTGCCATCTGAGTCAAAGGACAGGGTCACAATATCACTGTTCTCACTATTTTTATGTTCATGAGACAGTCGACGGAATGTTGAGATCACGGGTTAACAATATGATTTAAGATTGAGGAGGTGTTTATTTAATTCACAGACACATAAGTCGTGTGTGTATAAAGCCTCATTTGTGATGCAGGGTAAATGTGTGAGCTGACAAGTCAGAAAGGTTACACAGGTGTTGGCAGACAGGACAGTGGAAGCCAGCATTGTATTTCTTGGCCTCTAGGTCATGCTTATTTTTCAGTATGTCTATTTCATTCCAAAAATCATTTGAAACAGTTTCTCTGAAACTTCTGATTTGGGCTGAAATAACAACTATGGTCTCTACCATAAGACTCTCACTCTGCGTTTTTCTACTAAACCAACCATAAAGAAGGAGTGATTGTGCTATAAAGGTATCCAACAGCAGACAAAAGCAAGCTGTGTGAATTTATAGGGAAATGATCCCACTCTCCGTTGTTTTCTGTGACATACACACATGCCGTGAAGGCATTACTGTTCACTGACAAACAGATATACAGCTCTGCTTAGTAAAGGCTTTGTGGCAGTGTAAAACACAAAGCCCAACAAAGTAAGCTCTGATGGGAGCAGAAACCATCACTGTCCTTTATGTCTTCTTCATGGCATTAAGGGTGGGGTCTTCATCTTGTGACAGCCTTACTCTAAGATTCCCTGAAGATGATTTTTCTTTCTTGGGTCTCACTCAAAGATGGAGTCATGAATTAAAGAGTCCTGAGCAGTACTGAGCAATACTAAAAACAAATTTGTCCAGGCTAGCCCCTTATTTTTTGAAGATGGTGCATTGTGCATGGGTTGAGTTACTGAGATGGAATTGTGCTCTTTCTGGCCTTCTTTCTTTAGAGCTAATAGGCTGTGGTTCTCAAACTTTGGACTGTGACTCCTTTGGGAATTGAAAGACCTTTTCACAGGGGTCACTGAAGACCATGGGAAACACAGATATTTACATTACAATTCATAACAGTAGCAAAAATTACAGCTGTGAACTAGTAACAAAAATAATTTTATGCTTGGGGGTCACCATAACATGACGAACCATATTAAAGGGTTACAGTCTTAGGAAGGTTGAGAACTTCTGTTGTATACTCTTTCTGAGTCATCTGGCTGCAATATCATCTCTCTAAGTTTGTTAACTTAATTTCTATCAAATCAATTTCTTCTGGAAGGAATTAACTTCCTTCTTTACCCACTGCAATATTCATCACCTTGAATGCACAGGTTCAACCTATAGTTCTGAAGTGAGGTTTATTTGTTTGGTGGCTTTCTGGAACAACTTAAAATGAGTTCATATCCTTTTAAAAAAAACTGCCTATTGCATGAAGTTCATATAGAATGATGGACTTGCAATCATATTTTTGACCTTATAATCTTTGTCTTGAAGTTAGGTTTGCTTATAAAACTAATATTGGAGTGCACTAATTCTTTGCTGGCACTCATTTTAACATCAAAAAATACTTAAAATTCTGCTGTTGATAAATCAGTTAAGTATGTCCCTGTGAAATTACATGTTTAATATGAATAACTGTAGAGTATTTTAGTATTCACATTTTATGACCCAGAGTTGCCACCATTTCAGACTCAGATGGGATGCTAATGGGATACATTTTTCTATTTGGTATCACACTAGAGATTTTGATGGGCGGATGCTAAGCTCAGTCTCAGGATAAAACTAAGATGAAAAGCAGGCATTTGCATTTGAGCAATAGGCCAAGCAAATCTTATCAGCAGTCTTTCCCATGTGGGGCTGATTCCTTGGGTCTGTTAAGAATTCTACACCAAATTAGAAACAAACCTATACTTTGAGGTATACGTTTATACAGTGGTTTGATTATTAAATCTTGTCTTAATTAGGTAAAATGAAGGCCAGAGAACTTCAAAGTGTAAAGCTGATCTCTGGATTGTTAGCTCCTCTCAGCTCGGGTGTTTAGATTACTCAAACAGGTCTCCAGTTGGCTTTACTCCAAATATGTATTCCATATGTCTAATCAAGTGGCATATGCACATTGGATATCCTCTAGATTTTGAAAATATTTTAGCTGTCTTCAATTGTCTAAGGAAATGGAGAAAAATCATATTGAAGGAAATATTGATCCTGTATTATATTATGAAGTGTTTCCGATGGAACCATCAATAAGTTAGTTACTGTTCACCCTTCTTCCCAAATGACACGGATATTTACTTTTTATTGGGTTTTGGCTATACCTTAAATGCCAAGAGTTACTAAGTTTCTGTAGGAGAATATGTTGATTGCATTCTGTCCATTTCATTAGAATGGTTATTAGTAAGAAATGAGCACAGAAATTTTGTCATTTTCTATTATTGTACATGAACCTTGATGTAATTTTTTCCAACTGGAGCAAATAGTTGGCATCCTAAAATCATGGTCCTCACTCATGAGTAGTCATAACGGGAAATGAGCATCTGTGAAAATGTAGGTGTGCAAATGGCATGCTTAAAATATCTTTTCCTTTAAGACTTTTTAGCATTTTATAGCTCTTCTATCCCTTGAGTACTTAGAAAAAAAAAAGTATGAAATGAGAACATAGTTAAAAATTAAGATACCTGAGCTGTCCAGGCGATCCATTTAAGTATGCTTGCTATCACACCTGATGACCTGAGTTAGATCCAAGGACCCACATGATAGTGGAAGAGAATAGATCCCAACACATTGTCTTCTGACCTCCACATGTGTTCATACCCATGTCCATAAAGCATATAAACAAACTAAAGAATGCATAAGTAAGTGTAATAAGTATTTTTAAATAACGCCCTTTTTAAACTAGTATCAAGTTAAATAGTTGGTCTTTGTGGTAAAAACCTTAAATGATATGTTTAATTGTCAATAATCCTTAGAAAGTTTAGAAGGACCCTCTACTCTATGTACTTGATACACAGTTTTTCACTGAATGTCTGGAAAACTTATGAAACATGTAGTATAATATTGTCAATCCTACCTGGTGATTTAACTACCTGTTGTCTCTGTTTCAGTGCCATTCACATGGGGTATTTGTGTCTTCCAAGATTATTTGCCTCTTGTAATTATGTTATAAATGATCAAGGGCCACCAGAAATACAATATTTTTATTGCAATGTCCACCAGCAACTAATGAGGCAGCTTGAATGAAAGGATAGTTCCAGGTCAGAGAGAAAACTCACTCAGAATGATTTCTCATTCTCTTCATAAGTATGAGCACTCTATTTCCACAGAAAGAATGTTGAGATGCTTAACCATGCAGAAATCATATCTTATATCATTTCTTTGTATGTTTTTGACAGTTTTAAAAAATAAAAATTGTGTATTTTTATTTCCAGTATATGTACGTTTATAGTGTGGTGCTTTATGCTTTGACAAAACCTTAAGAAACAAACAAACAAAAAGGAGTTTCTTTATCCTAGAATGAGAGGAAGGCACTTGGCTTTACCTCGTTTCACATGGATTTTGTTTCTCCTCTTGAGAGTCAATACGAGTCAAATATAAAAGACCCACCACCACCACCACCAAAAAATAGTAGGATATGAGCAAGTTTCTCCTGAGCCCACTTTATATATTGTCAGTCCCCCCACCCCAGATCAATAAAACTATGATCAAGTTGAAAAGAAACACACAACAGTCATTTGCCCACATTGATGAGCTTTAAGATATAGTTTAACAAAAGTACACGTATGCAGTCATGTTATCATGGGTGTGTGGTTTTCCTGAACGTCCTTTAGGCTTAAGAGTTGAAGACTCAACTCATGGTTGAGAGATCAGATCTCTGATATCTCCTGCCCTCCCAACTCCCAGCAGCAGCATTCTGTTGTAAATTTAATAAAATATCATTGATTCCTGCTCAAGAGTTTCTGCTTTAACTAAAGTTTCCATACATTCTCTAACGTGTGCTTTTTAAATATTCATTTCTTGAAATCTACATGATCTGAAGTTTAATATATATTTGGATTCACATACCATTCCCCTTGTACTCACTCAGAAGACCATCACTGAATCCTTACTTTGGGTGGACACTGCCTTATGCCCTAATAATCCTCATCCAGTATCTTCAAGGGAAGAAGAAGAAGACAATTCACATTGTAACACAGTGTGCTCAACACCAGAACAGAAGATGAGAGGATGGAAATAGAACTTCTTTTAAGGAAATAACATTAGAGATTTGATTAGTTACCTCCCTTGATAATTTTGTGTCTATAATCTTCCCTTTTTTCCATTCTTTCATTTTTTTCTGGCTCTGTGATAAATATCTTACTCATTCCTTTTGGCTGGATATCAGCCAACACATTTTTAAAAACAAGTATAATTCAAGAGATGATATCTTATATATGTCAAGGCTCATCCTAGATATAAGCGTTTATTATTTATTTATTACCATGATACTTAGGAATTTTGACATGAGTACTATCTTATCATAATAAAGACATGTCTAAGACAAGACCAATAAATTGAAGGCCAAACAGATGTTCTGTGTTGCTTTATTAAAACAGGTAGACATTCTCTTCTGACAAGCAAGGCAAAGCACAATTGTGCTCAACTCTAAAGCTGAGCAAATAAGGAGTTTCCTTAGCATTTTTTGGAGAGCCTCTGATCCTCAATTCAAGTAGTATGTGTTTCATTCATTCCTCTTATTGTAGCTGTATTAATCAGTGTTACATGTCCTCCATTCTCCCTAATGTTTTATGACCATTGCCTGTCCCTAGTTATTTATTCTCAGCAACCCGAAAGTATATTCTTTCATCTCAGTGGTCACATGCAAACGTGGCATGTGTGTATTACCTTTCTAAATTAAGTGCTAATATAGGATTACTGTTAGTACTATTGGAAACA